CACACACACACACACACACACACACACACACACACACACACACACACTTCCTAACACAGTCAGCTCTTAATTTCGGCTTTTCATTTCAAAGATACAAAAAGATCACCGTAGTAACTAGAATAATCTGCAGCCAGAGGAAGGCATCCCAGGCTGGATGGCAGCCCCATCCTGTGTGTGATGTGAGAGCAAATGCAATGATGGGCTAAGCTCCCTCTCTGGGCCGTAGGGCCAAACACACGAGGCACAGCCAGAGGGCAGTGAAGGCAGTCTGACCCCAAAGGCACAGTCTGGGGGTCATGAAGCCTGGTGCTCTAGGCCTGGTTTGGCCATCTTTAGTCATTCACAAAGGGAGACCCACAATGGGCCTCCCTTTTCACCTCAATACTTTGAGGATAAAAACACTCACTCTGCCTGCTTCGGAGAATTGCTGCGCTACAGACTAGAACATGCTTTCTATGGTTTCCAAGTCTCTACAAACATGGCTATCACTAGGTGGGGGTCAAACACGAAGTGGATTCTGCTCACAGTCACGGTCTTTTCAGGAAACAGGTTTTAAATGGAGAGAAGGGAGCCAAGGGGGAGTGCCACGGTGCCCCACACTCCTCTTGGCTGCCCCCACCCGTGCCCCAGGCCCTGAGCTCTCCCTATGAGTCTTCGGGGAAGGTTGAGACATACGCACAGTTTCTGACTGAGAAGAATAGAGCAGGTTCTTGAAGGCCTTGTTGGCCGCCCGAAGCAGAGACCAGACGGAGCAGGTCCGTTCCTGAGTGTGTTTTTCTCCTCTCTCCTTCGCGTTGTTGCACAGGAATGTTCCAAAGAGGCAAGAGTAGGTGTGTTGTACCAACTTGACCTGCAGAGAGCCATCAGAGCAGCGTCAAAAGCGGGAAGGCGGGCCCTTGCCCAAACCAAAGCATCCCCAGGAACCACTTTGTCTTCCACTACTGTGAAGGTGGGCCCAGCCCCCTCTGGCCTTGTGTGAGGAGCCCAGCATGCCACTGCAGAAAGCTCACCCCCAAAGACTGTACACGGACAGTCTTCATCTTCAACACAGATCACTCCTGAGCCAATCCAAAGGCCCAGAGACACCACAGAGAGGTAACCTAACGGAAGGTCTTCTTTGCTCAGAATCTCACAACAGGGAAAATGACCTCCTCCTCCACCAAAATCAACCATAAATTAGGAGCCTCTTGCTATGTAAACCTTAAGCAGCCTCAGTGCTGTGAAACAGGAGGCCTACCTGTAGCCCCAGAAAAAACACGCCAAACCACGCTATCCTAAGGCTGTTCACTGGATCTCTTCTCTAATTTTGCTGAGTTCTAATAAAAGTCACAGACATTAGAACTGAAAGGGATCTCCAGGCCCCTTGCCCAAATGCTACCTGACTTCCCGTCTGCCTCCCACATCCCCACATAAAAACACTCTACAAGAGAGGAGAGCTGGCATGGGGGTCAGATGGTCGGGGCTCCCAATGAGAAGGCTGCTCAAGACGACTCTAGGGGGTGAGTCCTGGCAAGCAGTACCTCCTGCCATCGCACCTCCTCTGCTGCAGGCCAAAGGGGGAAACCCCATCTCCTAGAGTCTCAGGCAACCATGCACAACAAAGCCCAGACTTGATGACAACAGACGGTGGCTATAGTTACGAGGAGAAGGAATAACACTAAATGCTCCTATGACACCTGAAGGGCTGTAAGGTGTTTGGTGTGTATACACATGCCCCTTCTGTTCTAGACCCGTGATGTCACTGATCTTGGGGACTAGGAAGCAAAGAGGAGGAGCCAACTCTGCATCTCACGGTCACAGAGACCATTTGTGAGCACTGCCCCTAGCAGTGAGCAGTGAAGGCCTTCCTGACTCTCTTCACTCCACCAAGGTGCCTCACTTCTCTCTCTCTCTCTCTCTCTCTCTCTCACACACACACACACCATACATGTACATTTAATCATATATGCAATGGGGTGGTGGTGGTATGTCTCTATAAGTTTTTGTTCGATCCTCTCATAATCGCTCTGTTTACTAAAGGTATCATTCTTCTCCTTTTACAGATAAGGAGAACAAGGCCCAAAGAACTTGGGTGATTTGCAGCAGGTAGACCCCCTTCCTCTCCCTCACAGCACATTTCTATCACAAAGACAGGCCAAAATCCAAGCGGAGAAAGAGCATGCCATGTTCTTTTACTGCACCTTCCAATGGCCATTCTGGCCATTCACCTTGGTCCTCTGGGCTGCGTCAGAGATCATGCAGCTGATTTCTCTTCCGAGGTTCTGCCTTTGTACCTGCCTTCCTCCTACCCTGCCCTTTTCTGGTGAGCCTCTCTAAGTGGCAACGACATTTAACAGGAAAGAGAAAAGAGCTTCTCCTGCAGGCCTGCCTCCCCCCCCCCCCCCCACTCTCAAGCTTGTAGCCCCACCTAATCAGAGAGCCCCGCACTCACAAGGAATGCTTCATTGAATTCAAAAGAGCAAGGAAACTGCCTCTGGAGCTGGTGGACACAGTCCAGCCACTGCAGAAACACAGGACAACGCTCATTCAGATCGTCTGAGTTTTCCCCGTGGCCACAGCGATCAGCAAACTTATGGCCAAAATCCAGCCATTCCATCTCCACGAGCACCTGGAAGCCCTGGGGGGAGAGAAGCAGATCCGTCACTGCTGCCTGGTGCAGGGGAAGCCCCATCTCTTCTTTTTCACATCCTCAAAGTGGAACTTGAGGGTCACTAGATGGGCTCCCCCGGCCCCAGGATTTATCTGCCCTGACAAGCCAGCAGCTCCTGTTAACCCAAATTTCTTAGATACTTCCTCTGATAGGGCCCAGTAATGCAAACAATATTTCTGGAGTCACAGTGCCCTGAACACATGACATTTCTCTGGGGTGATCCTCCCCGTTCCTCAGCAGGCCAGGTGCCCAGGGCAAACAGGCCCTGGCCCCCTCTGGCTGTCTGACTTGGGGAGAGCACAAGTAACTGCTGATACCCCACATCACCCTGTATGGGACCAAACCAATGAGGATGAATGGAAATGCAGCTGTCACAATCTCCAGAGTAATTCACTGTCATCCTTTCATTCATCCAGTGCCCAGAAGGTTCAAGGCCCCAGAGCAGGAGGTACAGAGACAAATTAGGCTGCTTGCTGGCAGGGGGCCGGGGGGAGGGAAGGCAGGTATACAGATAACTCTAATACAAATGAGAACCTGGAAAGGGAGAACAATTTGCTCCACAATCAGAGGAGAGAAAGATCGCCTCTACCTGAGGAGACCAGGGAAGGCTTCATGGTAGAAGCATCACTGGAGTTGGGCTGTAAAGGACGAGGAAGATGCCATACACAGATGGGAGATGCCAGCAGAGAACGGCTTGAACAAAGGCACAGAGGTGAAGAATGAGCTGCATTCAGAGGAGGACAAGCACTCTAGCTTAGATGAAGTGCAGCTATGTGACAGGGGGTTGGTATGAAGTGATACTGAAAGCAGAAGGCATGGAATGCCAGCAAAGGGCACTAGGACTTTATCCAACGGGCAGCAGGGAGCTCTTAAATCAAGGGTGGGGAAACTGCGGCCTCAATGCCACATGTGGCCCTTTGACCGAGTCCAAACTTCACAGAACAAATCCCCTTAATAAAAGGATTTCTTCTGTAAAGCTTAGACTCAGCCAAAAGGCCACACCTGAGGACCTAGAAGGGCACACGTGGCCTCGAGGTTGCAGGTTCCCACCTGTCCTGACTACTCCCAAGCAGAGGAACAGCAACAGGTGCTGGAGGCTGAGACAGCAGCCATAGAAGGCTTCCCCCTCCAAGAACCGACCCCCATTTTGGACAACAAACCTGTCTCTCCATACACACCTCTATGGTTCGGTAGTAGGGATCAAGCAGGAGCTTGGACAGTGCCACAATCTGGGGGGTCCGATCCCAGCCATCAGAGCAGTGTACCAACACTGGCCGCTGATCGCGGTCCACAGCATGGACAACCAGCAGGGCCGACTTCAGCAGCACCGATAGGTGCTGCAGCCACTTGGTACTTTCGAGAGCAGAAAGCCAACTAGAGAGACAGAGACAGATCTGGGATGACGGGGGAGCACTCAAGCCTGTCTGTTTCCTGCAACAGGCTTACAAAACGCAGCAAATTAGAGAGCAAATATAAGTTACTTTGTCCGTTGAAATGCTGAACAATCAAACAAGAAACTGGAGAATCATCCACGAGTGTGCCCTAGTCCAGGGATCTTGCCTGCATCCCCACACTAAGAGGAGATCAGGAACAGGCACAAGTAATAATGCACCAGAGACCTCCAGGAGACTCAGTGAGCACAGGAGGCTGGGCCTCAGTGACAGGTGCACGGCCGGGGCAAATCCTGGGGACATCAGCCTCAGAGCCCACCCTGCAACCATTATGTGCAGGACGGGAACACTGTGGCAGCACCTCTGGCTCAGCCCCTGGTCTTTGGGGGAGCTCTCCCACCCCAAGCGCAGCCAGCCTAACAAAGTATTATTCCAGTTCCAACTTCCTCTGCACATTCTTGCTTACTCTGGAGCTAATTAGCTCCTTGGCAGTCATCACCAACACCATCATCATCATCATCACCTCTGTTTATCATCAACTGAAGGTGGACATGAGGGCTGTCCAGCTCATTCTGCTTGGCCCCAAAGGGCAGGAGTGCAAGAAGCACCTTGGTACTGTGCAGCGAGCCCTCAGCGGGCGAGGTGGACAGCGGCATTGAGAGCGCGCACTCCTCCACTTACTCACAGGCCAGGTCTGGCTCCTCCCTGGCGACCTCCCATAGGACAAGGGCTGTGGGAACCCTCCAGAACTCTCATCATGGGAGCTGCCCACACCGCTCAGGCAGCGTGATGCGGTGGCAGAAGGCAGGCACAGAGAAGAGGAGGGCAGCCCTGACCATTCTGCAGGACCACTACAGGCAATGCCCCTGTGCTGGCCAGGCCTCTCTGCTGCCTCAGGCAGCACACTAAGCTTCGTGGGAAACGGAGGAGGGGAAGTGTTCGCAGGATTCTATCAGGGTTCTCTTGCAAACAGACTCCCCTTTCATCAATGCTATTCAAACGGTCACTGAGAACAAGTGCAGCTGGTCTGCCAAGGTGCGAGTTCGTCAAATGCCTAGGCATCTCTCATAATCACAAAACGTTAAGGGAAAGCTCTTGGCCTGTAAGGGGGAGGCCGGCACACGTATTCACCTGACATGGCCACCCCACAGCAGAACTCACTGCTCCACGGTGAGTTTGGGGAAGCTTCCGGCTAATGCTGGCTGGCCAGCACTGCCTCAGAAGTAACTCCTGGAAAAGAACGAACCTTCCTTCTCTCTGGGACAGAGCCTACATGAACCAGAGCATGTCAGGAGTAGGGGAAATGTTAGTATGTGAATGATACCAGTGTCTGATGCCATGGAGAAAGGTCTGGAGGAGTCTGAGTCCTAGTGGTGACAATGGCTGGCTGAGAGACCCTGAGCAAGTCATTTCATTCTCTCAGCCTCAGTTTCCCTCATGTGTTAAAGCATAGTAAAAGCATATCTGGTTCACAATGTTGTGGTGCATCTCAAATGTGGATGAAGTGTACCTGGCAAACATCAAGGGCCTCAGAGATAGGAACTGTTGGGATAAACTCCCCGTGGCCAAAATAACACCAGCAGAAGATGAAGAGGTTGCAGGAAAACTGACAGGACAAGCTTTCTACTCTGATGATCAGCATTTGTTTTCTCCATCTTTAAACACTTCACAAGGGCCTAATTTTTGGCTCTATTTTTCCTTTGAGCTGGTGTGGAAGAAAGAGGGTCTCGCTCCCCAAACAAACAGGACAAGGAGAGCTCCCCTGCAAGAGAGGCGGGGGCCCTGATGGAAGGGTCTCAGGGCAGAGGCACGGGAACACAGGGCAGGGAGGCCAACACTTACTTTCCCGGATCGGGCATCTGCGTACAGAGCAGCCGCAGGGACTGAAAGCTCTTCCGAATTGAATGAATGTTTGCCATCCCCATAAATACCACTTCGCAGTTGGGATAATACTCTGGAGAAAACAACAAGAAAGAGAACACAAGCACGCTGAATTAGGAAGCCACACAACCAGGGAAAGGGAACAAAGGCCTGCTATTAAACCCACCCCTACAGCCGTAGAAGGAGGCCACAATGAGGCCTGGGGGGCTAGCAATGAGAACAAGGCCTTCATTAGGAGGCAGCGCCTACCCTGTGCTCTAAAGCAGCTGGGGTAAGGGGTGTGTGAGTGTGTGTGAGTGTGTGTGTGTGGTGCCACACTCCCCTCTCCCCATGCCAATGTGGCATGAGAGGGTCCCTGAGCTAAGGGCCTCTGCCCTGGCTGGAATAACACTCTGTAAAAGATGGTGAGGCATTCCCATTTTCCAATACCAGCTCAGCCTCTCACACAGGAAACAGAAGAGGCCCAGAGGGACAAATTCTGGCCAGGTCCTCTCCCCTGCCCAGAAGAAGGGTTATTTTAGGCCTTCCCAGAGAGACCGTGGCTGTAGACTCCTCTGTGCACCCCAGAGACCCCAAGGAGGAGCAGGCTTGAGGGGCAGCCACCAGTATATATGCAAGGAATCCCAGAAGCACTGAGAAGGTCTTTTTAATTTACAATAAGCTTCCAAACATGAACGACCCTAATAACAGAAGGGGATTTCCTTTCCTTATCACCAGGAAGGCTAGCAAATAGGAAGGAAAGGATGCCAATGGGTTTCATGTGCCACACATCTCCCTCTGAAACCTCCCCCCCGCAAAACTGTCATGTTAGGAATTAACAGATAAGCCCAGGTCTGCCACAATGGAACCAGCAGGACAAGCACAGGGCTGGCGCCCTGGTCTTTTGTCTCAGGCCAACCAAGAAGCTTGCAGCTGGATTCACTGGGACCAGGGGCCCGTGGGTCCCACCACTTACCTGGGCATTCGCAGCCACCTCCTTTGGCTCGGTTTGCCACAGCTGCTGCATAGGACCGCGCATCCAAGATTAGAAGCTTCTGAGGCTGGATAGCTAAGCTCTCTGCTCCAGAAGCATTTGACAGGGAAGAATCTAAGGAGAACCAGAAGAAAATAACTACTTCTCTGTTACCAATTCTCGCCAGGTATCATCTCTAACAAAAGTCACAGGCAAACAGAGTCCAACTTTTAGACACCTCAGTTAACAGGATTCTCTTCTCTTTTCCCTGACTCTCCCACAGCCCACTTGGACTGTCCTGGATGATGCAAAGTAACCCAAGCAGAAGACACTCAAGTGTCACACAAAAGCCTTGAGAGCTGAGACCTGGAAGGGACCTTAAAAGCCAAGTCATCTGCTCCCTTCTCAACACCCCACCCTACCCTTTTTATTTTATTTTTTTAAACATGATGCAACTGAGGTTCAAAGAGGGAAAGACTGCTAGTAATAAGGAAAACTACTTAATCAGCTCCTTCCTTATTTGGAAGTTAGTGTCTTTTTCGTTATACTTCCAGAAAGATTTTCAATAAGAGCTAAAGTAAAACAAGGTCTTCTGCTCATGTAGCAGAAACTCCAACACTTGCTGTCCCTCCACCATTCCAGGACCTGACCTTTGGCCAGGATTCAGCAATGCTTAACTGGGCCAAGCTGACGGGGATTATTTCCACTCATGCTCTTGTACCAAACTCTGCAGAGTTGGGGTGGGGGCAGGGGGGTGGGGTGGGAGAGAAAAGCCATAGGCTGTTAGTATCAAAAATGAAGATGGCTGATTCACTTACCAAATTCCACGTCTGAAAGGTCACCTCCATTGGAAAACTCCCTAGAGCAATTTCCATTCAGTATCTTGCCACTACTTGACCTGGAGTCAGAGGCACAGGCTTTGGCCACAGACTGCACAAGGTGCTCATCATCAGCATTCCGCCAGCCCCACCAGCTGACCTCGGGCTGCCCACAGCGGGCGATGACCGCCCCATTACTTTGGTGCCTGGCGAAAGAAGAAGCCATGAAAAGAACCCCTGGGTCTACAAGGTAGTTCCTTAATGAATGTAAAATTTCCCGGGAGGCATTTCCTTCCTATGTAAATAAACATACACAGGCCAGTCTCAAATGTTTTGGGAATCAGGTGGGGCATAACCCTGGACAAATAGGCAGAATCAGTGAACAGTGGCCTGTAGCCAGGTAGCCCCCTCACTTAGCAGACAAGAACATGAAAGTCTAACAAGATGGGGACTGAGTCTAGTCAGGATGTAACACAGAGAGCAACGAGAATGCTCGGTAACATGATTCATGTGTGACAGATGTAAAGCACAGTGCCATGTAAAGTTTGAGGGGAAAAGTCATCGTCATCCTGCCTAAAGTTACACAGCTAATCAATGCCAGAACAGTCTGACAGAAAGATCACTAGGCTCCCGATCAAGAGAATCGAGTTCAGGACCCAGCCTGCTATTTACAAGTGTCTGACCGTGAGGGCGGTGGAAGATGATGGAAGAGCACAATTTGTGCAAACATCTAAAAAATTCACCAGACTAAATTAGGATCAGGAAATGCAAGAAAAAAACTCCACAGTGACTCATTTTTTCAGGCATAGAGAGATGGAGAAATCTGAGGAGACTTGTAAAATGGATACAGAGTGAAGAGAGCAGAACCAAGGGAACAATTTGCACAGTAACAACACTGTGAGACAAATAGCTTTGAAAGACCTAGGAACTCTGATCAGAGTAATGGTCAACCACAGTTCCAAAGGATTTATGATGAAACATGCTGCCCATCTCCTGATACGGAGGTGAAGGACTCACAATACAGAATGAAAACCTTTTTTCTTCCTGCACACACGGTCAGTGTGGAAATTTGTTTTGCTTGACTATACATGTTTATAACAGAGGTTTTGTTTTTCTTTGTTTCTTACTTGGGGTGGGGAAGGGGGGAGAAGAGAAGGAACAAAAGCTGGGTTTTTGCTGACTGAAAAAAATTCACTAAAGCAAACAAAAAGGCAACAATACAAGTGTGTATGATTGTGGGTGAGTCCTTTCCCCTTTGTGAACCTGAAAATGGGGAGACTAAGTGTTCTACCTCTCCTTCAAAACAGCTGTAAAGAAAGTGCTTATGTTAACTGTAAGGCACTAGAAAAACGGGTCTTAATACTGGAAGATGTGGCTCATAGAGCCCAAGTCTGTGGACCCCCAACATAATTTTCTGGTTTTTTTTTTTTTGGCACTGTACCTGTGTATGTGTGCGGCCTGGTCAGCAGTAGCACCAACCTCTGTGTCACCTAGGCTTAACACCTCTCATGATCCCAAGTCAGGCCTCGGGCTCCTGCCTTTCCTCCTCATACACACCGTCCCCAGCTGGCATGAGATCTTATCTCGGCACACATGAAGCCCCCTCGCAGCAGCCTGCTTTCAGGAGCTCTGATTGGATAATCAGCTCCTAGAGGTGAGACCTACTGCTCAGGCCTTCTTAGGAAGAGTCCTACGGTGCCTAGCACAGGCCTGCCCACGTCGGGGGCGCTTAGTCACTACTTAACTGAGAAGCGGCACACGACAGGACGTCAAGAGATTTGGGGTCAGGTCCCCGGGCTATGAACTTGGGTCATTTCCCTCTTCCAGGCCTGGCTTCCTCCTCTTTTAAATTAGAGTGCTGGACCAGATGACTTCTAAGGTTTGTGTAAATGGGGGTGAGGGGATGTGGCATTCTGAAAGGTCACCAAGGAAACAGGCACGGACACAGCCCACGTGTGAGCTGCATGGGAGCTAACGTGGGGCTTCCTGCACAGAAGGTGGGCTTCCTGGCTCAGGAAGGAAGGGTTCCTCTTTCCTGTGCTCAGGTCCAGTTCTCAGTAATAAAGGGGGAGCTGCTGCAGCACCCCGCAATGAGGCAGAGCAGGATGGCCAGGGCACACCAAGGCTCATCCCAGGAGGCTCAGGGGAATGAGCTGGGCATATCTGACTGGAGAAAAGAAAATGCTCCTGGGAACCAAAGCAGCGCCATGTCAGAGAAGACATCTAAGCCAGTGGGATCTTCTGTATCTGGGAGGAACTTCCTTGGGAATCTGATCACTGCAAGTCTTCAGGTGGTCCAGGAATGAATAAGGTGAAAAGGGGACTTTTCCTTCTCCTCAGGGGGTCCCCCAGGGTCCAGGCTCCCTCCCCAGGCTGGTCCCAAGAGGGTCTTTCGGGATGCAGTGGGAAAGAAGGCTGGGGATCCCGATGGCTCCACCACGTTCCCAGGCTGGCTCCCTGCAGGTGCCTGTAGTGATGTGGTCAGTCTCTTGAGGCCACGGCTTTGCCCTGGCCTCCAGCAAGGACAAAGCTGGGGGAAGCACATCTCTCGTGGCCCGGCAGGCGCCCTTTCCCAGGTGCTGTGCAAAGGCAGACGAAGCTATCCAGGAGCAGAGACACAACGGCCAGAGAGTGAAGGAAAGCAGTGGAGAGAGACAAGGCCAAAATGACAAGTCCACGAGAGCCTCAAATGAAACAGGAACCTTGCCACACAGCATCAAACCAGGGTCAGAGCTGCCATGTCTCCAGCATTTGAAAGAGAACCACTCCTTTCCTTCAATATGCCTCCAAGGCAGGGAAGACAGGTGCCATCTCTATCTTACCTAAGAGACCAAGTGACTCAGCACATCAGAATTTTAAGCAGGAAGAAACTCTAGACATGGCCTTCAATGAGAGAAGAAGAAACTGAGGCACAGAGCAGTTACATGAGTCACCGCTGCAGGGCTAGGACAGTGCACAGTACCAAACCTGGAACCCAAGTCCTCAATCTGAAGTCCACTCTTCTGTCCTTTACATGTGTTTTTGCTTCTAATGAAGAGAAACTAGAAAACTCCACAGAAAAATCAAGATGCCTGGTCATCCTCTCCTAGCTACATATGAGGTGAGGAGGCCCAGAGCAGCACTGCCTTCTGTTAGGAAGACAGCGCACACGGTGCAACTGCTCTGCCTTTCAGGCTCACCCATCCTCACTCAATCAGTGCCTGACAATGTGGCTCTGGCACCGCACCTCAGCCTCTGGAAGAGCCTTCTCCACACCTGGTTTACTTTTTCCCCTCCCACAGGGAGACAGACCTCTGTCCCCTGGACCCCAAATATATCTATCATAGAGCTGGAAAGGCCCTTAGAGACTATGGAGTTCAACACCTTCATATGACAAAGAAGGGAAACTGAGGCTCAGGTTGGGGAACCTGCCCACGGTCACACATTGACTCTTTGAGTCTTGAGCTCACAGCCCTGCACAGAAAACTTCCAGGGAGCCTCCCCCCAGGCAGCCCGGCTACTCTCCCTGCTGCTCCTCCGGCCTATGACCCTCTTGGACAGTCCAATCATTTTTTTAAGTTCTCTCTCCTGGATCTATTTTCCACATCAGTTGTTTTTCCAATGAGATATTTCACATTGTTTTCTAATTTTTCATTCTTTTGGATTTGTTTTACAGTGTCCTGAATTCTCATAAAGTCACTAGCCTCCAATTGCTCTGTTCTCATTTTTAAAGAAGTATTTTCTTCAGTAATCTTTTAGACTTCCTTTTCCATTTGGCCAATTTTGCTTTTTAGGGCATTCTTCTCCTCGATGGCTTTTTGGACCTCTTTTGCCATTTGGGTTAGGCTATTTTTTAAGGTGTTATTGTCTTCAGTATTTTTTTGGGTCTCCTTTAGCAAGCTGTTGACTTGTTTTTCATGATTTTCTTGCAAAACTCTCAGTTTTTTTTCTACTTCTCTTTACTTGCTTCTCAAAATCCCTTGTGAGCTCTTTCAAGGCCTGGGACTGATTCATATTTTTCTTGGAGGCTTTGGGTGTAGGAGCTTTGGCTTCGTTGTCTTCTTCTGGTTGTATGTTTTGATCTTCTTTGTCACCAAAATAAGATAATACAGTCTGACTCTTTTTGCGCTGCTTACTCATGATCCCGGCCAATTACTTGAGTTTTAAACTCTTTGTTAAGGTAAAAGTCTGCTTCCAATGTGGAGAATGTACTGTCCCAAGCTTCGGGGGTTTGTACAGCTGTTTTCAGAGATACTTCTAGAGACCTGTAAATTTTCAGTTCTTCCAAGGTGCTATGATAAGGGGAAGGTGTTTCCTCTCCACAGCCACAACAAGCTCCACCACACCAGCGTTCCTCCTAGCCCCAGGACTGCCCCTCAGAACTGTGACCCAGATCCAAGCACAGGCAAAGCAAGAGATTCCTGCCTCAGCCCTGGCAAAGAGATCCTTGCAATCCCCCTCTGATCAGCCACTCGATTCCCCCTCAGTCTGTGGACCAGAAGCTCGGGAAACAGCTGCTGCCCCGAGGGCACGGTCAGGACTTGCGGCTGAGACATAGGTCCTCTCTCACCACAGTCAGACTTTTCCCACTGACCTTCCACGTTGTCTTTGGCATTCCTGGGTTGAGAAGTCTGGAAACCGCCACAGTTGCCCACGATTCAGTCCTCTGAGGCCTGCTCCAGGGTCGCTGCAGTCTGCGTGGCCACGCTGCACTGCGCTCCTCTCCTAGCCCGGCGCGATATACCTTTCCGATCAACCATCCAGGCTGTCTTTGGCTGGAAATTTGTTTCACTCTGTCTTTCTGTGGGTTCTGCTGCTTTAGAATTTGTTTAGAGCCATTTTTTTAGGTATTTGGAGGGCTTTGGGAGACAGCTCAAGACAGTCACTGCTTTCCCTCCGCCATCTTGGTTCCGCCTCCCCTACGACCCTCTTGGGATGGGTACTTTCCTGGCTATATTAAATTACATTTATAACCGAGTCACCCGTTACACTGCTCTCTGTTGTCTGCTGTGCAGTGGCACAGAAAGCACAGACCTAGAATCAGGGTGTGAGGGTTTTGCTGTCTTTGCGGCCTTGGGCCAACAGCGTCATCTCTCTGAGCCTCAGTTTCCTCATCTGTGACCTGGAGATAACAGGTGCATCACCGATCTCAAAGGGTTCTTGTGAGGAAAGAGTGTTGTAAACCTCAAGTTATTAAAAAAACACATGGATGCTGCTCCCCCTCCAATCACTTCCCTATAACTGGTGTTAGGTCATGATACGGCACCATCTTCTATTTCCATCCTGACCATAAGCTCCTGCAGACAAGGAAGGTGTCATTTTCTCACAAGTCTTCGGGAAGCTGAATAATCAGTGAGAGATACTCGACATGGGACCCTTGCTTCAGGTGAGACATCAGAAGGCTTCCGTGATTTCTTTTGTAACCTCAACCCACAGCACTATGGCAGCACTTTTACCATGATGGGGAGACCCAAGGCTTTGTTGGATCCTATGGTTTTCAAAACCATCTCATCTCCAGCCCAATCCATCCTTTCCACTTTCTTTTTTCATGTCAGAAGTGAGCCGATAGCCCTTCAGGTACTTCATGAAGACCCACAGTGCCTCGGCCGGCTTACCTGTAGACCACAGCAGGGATGCGTTTCCAGGACCTGAAGCTCGCTACACTTTCAAGCTCCTTGTCGGTAATCCAGGCTGGCACAATGAGCTCCTGAGGGTAGCTGCCACACAGCCTACAAATTGAAGACAGAAACAGAAATCTTAGAGGGGCTGACACAGGGCGCCTGCTGAGGTCTCAGGCTGGCACTAGACAAAATAAATAAAAATGAATGAATGAGTGAACAAACAGATTAATGAGCAGTATTCATAGAGTGCCTACTATGCACTGGGCACCATGGTAAACACTTTATAATTATTCTCTCATTTGACCCTTATAACAACCCTAGGAGGGAGGTGTCAGCACCATCTCCATTTTACAGACAAGGAAACTGAGGCAAACAAAGGTGAAGTGACTTGCCTAGAGTCAGTCAGCTGGTAAACGTCTGAGGCCAGAACTCAATTCAGGTCTTGCTGACTCCAGGCCCAGGGCACTATTCTTGTGCCACCCAGCTGCATTAGCACCAACAGTATCCATTTTTTATGGAGCTTTACAGTTAGCCAAGCATTTTCCTTACAACAATCCTATAAGACAGGTAGCAGAATAACTGTCCCCATATTCCAGACAAAGAAACTGAGGTTGAGAGAGGAGCAGTGGGGGTATATGATATCTGCCTTGGTGTGGCAGAGCCAGGATTCGAAGCTTGCTCTTCTGTCTTCATGGGATCCTATTTCCTCCCCAAGTGCCACAGCTGGTTACTCCTTTCCTTGCCATTCCTCCACCACGCCCACCTTAGCACTAGCTAGCTCGGCGCCCCTAACTCTGGAGAGGCCCAGCATCTAGCACAAAAGCAGGGACAGGCCCACAGTCCTTGTCCTGGCTGCCCACAGTTGGTGGCTCAGCTCTGAGCAGCACACGTCAGAACCCTGGCAAACCAAGCACAAGCAGAGGACAGCCAACTGGATGGGGAGAGGATGAGAACTGGTCTGTGAGGACTAGCGGGAAAGCACTTGGGATTGGAGTATATCAGGAAAAAACAAAAGGCATTAAAATGAAAAAGAAACCAGAACAATTACGGGGACACAACAACTGTCTAAAAATAATGTGCAGGGCTGTTAAATGGAAGAACAGCAAGCAGCTGGGTGGGGGTGGGGTGGGGAGAGATGGGGAGATGGAGAGGCAGTTTGGTAAGAAAACAGCAAGAACTGTCCGCAAGTAGACTGGGAAGCCTGAGCGGGGAGGGGCAGGATGAATTCTGGATTGATGGACCAAGCAGAGACCTCCGAGGTCCCCCCCAACTATGAGAACCTACAACTACTGGGCCAAAAAGAATGACTTCCTGAAATCGAGAAGCAATTAGCCAGCAGAGGGCGATTCTTTGGGCTTCATTTGAAGGAAAACTGAGGGAGAATTCATGGCCCGAGATATCAAAGTCACCCTTCCAAATGCTTTACAGGCCTGGAGGAATTAGCTGATAGATAGATAGGTTGGGATGTCCCACTAATGGGTATAAGCCGAAGCCCAGAGCCCACAGCCTGACCAAAATGGGTGCATCGGCACAGCAGTCACTCTCCTACCTGGGCCAACAAGGAGAAGCCGCCAATAAATCTAGCCATGATTTCATACTGGTACAGGAAGCTTTCCAGAAGCACATCTGCTAATTATGAAAGAATGTCTCTGGTAGCTGCTGGAGAGCATGCTGAATTCAGAGGAGGCTCTCCCGAGGTGCCAGAATCTTCTTCTCTGCCTTCACTCAACAACCCAGGAAGAGGGCAGCAAGGTCCAATGCTGGGATCTAACCTTTATGTCTCCTGCTTCTCTCCAAGTCAGCTGCTACTTTCCGTGTCCTGTTTCCAATTTCTAGAAGACCATAAGACATCTCAAGGTAGGATGTCAGAATATGAAACAAGAATTGGATTTGGTATCTCAAGACTTGAATTGAGTCTGAGTTCAGACATTTCTGAGCTGTGAAACCACGGGCAAGTTATATAACTTGCCGGTAACTCAGTTTTGCCATCTACAGAATGAGGAAAATAACATTCACGACTTAATTCGTAGGGTAATGAAGAAAGTATTTTGCTACAGAAAACTGAGTTATTATTATCCACAGGTGACCAAGAATGATTGTATTAAATGCCTTAAAATTCACATACAGACAAATCTCTAGATAACGTTTAGGAAAATCAATGGCCATTTATAAATAAAATATACACCTTAAACCAAGGGCCACCTAACAATCACCACCAACTACCACCTAACCAAACACAAAGGAAGAGGCAGAATGGAGATGTCAGTGATCACTGCTCAGGTGCATCTGCACTCAGGACAAAGCTGGATGTCTCCATGGAGACCATCTGAGCACACCCATACCAGCACAGGGTTGGGGAAAGCACAGTGCTCCGGTAGGAAGGCCACCAGGAGCTCATGCCGGAGCTGCCCTGAACTCAGGCAAGTCACATAACCTCGGGACTGCCAGAGCCCACTTAACGGGCTGATCTCTTCACACCGAGGGGAGTGGGCTACCTGACCTGTAACGTGCTCTCCAGCACCACCATTTCATGTGCCAGCAGCTGAAGAACCCATGACTAATTGCTTAGAAAGAGAACTAGGGTAAAAAAAAAAAAAAAAGGCCTTTTGCTTTTATTTCATTTAGCTGTTAAAAAAAATAGTGCCAAATTAAACCTAAAATAGCGTCTATAAATATTGGCCTTTTGTTATCAGGATATATTTCTAAAAAGCTGCCTGTCAACTTCTTAGGAAAAGTTTCCCCCAAACAGCCGTAAATGCATTGAGAGAAATGAACCTATTTGCAAATGGATCTGTTTAAATACCAAAAAAAGCTTCAGGTTCAAGTCTTAAAATACACTCCAATTAAAGCTATCTTAAATTGGAAAACAGTGTATTCAAATAAAACAAAAACAACTCTTAGGATTCTGCCTACCTTTTGATGAATCCACAGTGAGTTTTCAAAACAATGAAATTCATTTTTAAAAGCTTTCCGAGTTGTGTTTTTTTAAGTCAGGCTCACAGACACTGCTTTTTGAATGCATCACTTTCCTAAGTCAAAGTATGTTTTACTTCCCCTTCTGTCAAGTACTCAAGCAACTTTAAGAGGAAATACCTGCTGAAATGAAACAGGATTGTGATGCCTCTGTCGTTCAAATTCCCCCAGAACAAAGAAGATAAGCAACACTTGGGCCAATGTCATCAATCCTCATTAAGTTTATGGCTAATTACTTGATCCTGGAGGTTTTGTCTTTCTCGTTAAGCATGAAGTACTCTGCTAGCTTTCATTAAACCCTCAAGGAGACTGACTCCAGACAAGGCAGATGTATAGGCGACAGAAAGGTTGGCCTGTCTCTGCTCGTATGGATCCCTGTTGTTCAGTAGCTCCAGCCATGTCTGACTCTTTGTGACCCCATTTCGGGATTTCTTAACAAAGATACTTAAGTGGTTTGCCATTTTTTTTTCAGATGAGGAAACTGAGGCAAAGAGAGTTAAGTGACTTGGCCAGGGTCGCACAGCTGTTGAGGCAGGATTTGAACATACAAAGACAAGTCTTCCTGACTCTAGTCCCTGTGGTCTGTGCACTATGGCGCCACCTAGTTGCCCTAGAACACCTAGCTTGTGTGGAACAGGGAAATCTATTACAAGAAAAGGCTGCATCAACACCAACTTCGGTTGTCTGTTTGTTTTGTTTTGGTGAGGCAATTGGGGTTAAGTGACTTGCCCAGGGTCACACAGCTAGTAAGTGTGAAGTGTCTGAGGCCACATTTGAACTCAGGTCCTCCTGACTCCAAGGCCAGAGCTCTTTCCGCTGCGCCACTTAGCTGCCTCTCAACACCAACTTCTTGACTGCATCAGAGGGTCTCAGAGCGGACAAGGCCCTCAGGGCACATCTAGGCCAACCAGGACTAGCCCAAAAATCCCTTTCCTACTTCCACTTGAAGACTTCCCAAGAGGAGGAGCCGCCAGGCAGGCAGGTCCAAACGCAGCCTAGTCTACTTGTGAATGAAAGGAAAGTTTCTTTATAGCAAACCTTTCAGTACCAAACACTCATGCCACTTCAAGAAAGAAGTAGTCTTTCTAAGTGCTGAGGCAGTGAGAAAAGCTGTTAAAGTTTTAATTAATGTTTCTTACGTGTAACTGGCACGTTAGTTTTAAACCAAATGTACAATGCAAACCAGCTCTATCTTTATGTACAGTGTTCTTACGTTCCTTTGATAGTTACTGCTAGCCTTCTTCTTACCTTGAGCCCTGCCTCACAGAAGTGAGGGGTGACCCCAAGACCTCAGAAGCTCTACCAGCAAAGCACAAGGCCTGGCCACTCCAGCAACGCAAAGACCCATGACAGTTCCTGATCAGCCTGGCCAAATTCAGCAAGGCTCCTCACTAGAGACTTGGTGGAAAGGTAGAGAGAGAGGGTGTGTGTGTGTGTGTGTGTGTGTGTGTGTGCGCGCGCGCGCGCGTGGACGCACATGCACACACACGCGTGTTTATACATGTAGCAAATCCCAAAGACCCTTCACCAAACGGTATAGACAGGTAATCCCCCAACTGTGGGCAGGCCCACCCACTGCTCTGTCTTTTCCTCTACTCCCTCTCCCTTTCCCTTACCCCGGCAGCTACCATGGCATTACCCACCATCTTTATGCAGATGACTTCCACATCCATCAAATCCCTCCATGACTGGAGTTCATCTCCCACTGGGACATTTCCAACTTTGTCTCACAGGCATGCCAGACTCAATCCTGTTCTAAACTTCCTAGTTTCTGTCAAGGGTACCCCATCCTTCTAGCTGCCCAGGTTCACGACCTCAGAGGTCTCCTCCACTCTCAGCCCACCTGGCCGGGAGTGCCAAGTCTGTCTCCCATCCATCCCCTTCTCTTTCCCAACACAGCCAGGAGCCCAATTCAGGCCTCCAACATCTCTCTTCTGGATGACCGTCGCAGCCTCCTAATTGGTTCCTCCTTTCTGCAACCCATCCTCCACACAGCAGCCAAAGTGATTTTCCTAAAGCACAGCTCTGACTATGTTACTTCCCTATTCAAATTCCTGGGGCTCCTTATTCCAAGAACAACTAGGAATGCTCTTTGGCATTTAAAGTCCTTCAAAAACCCTCTCCACCCTATTTTTTTCAGGCTTATTAAACAGAACAACCCTTTAGACATTTGACAGACTAGCCAAACTGGCAGTTCCTTGCATATGACACTCTATCAGGTACGTGCTTCTGAACATAAGTGCACATAAACAGTGCTGCCTGCCCGTGTCTGGAAGGCACTCCCTTCTCCTGCCACCTCTGGAAATCCCTGATTTCCTTCAAAATGCAGCTAAGGCAAGAGCTTCCCCAATGAGCCTTTCCTGATCATCCCAGCTATTAGTCTCCCCCCTCTCCCCAAAATTACCCTATTTATTGTGAAAATGTTTACATACCCACAATGTCTTTCTCTTATGGAACTCAAGTTCTGGGAGCACAGGGAGGCCCCCATTTATGTCCTTACACTCCAATGCATAGCACAGTGCCTGGCACACAGCGAGGTCTAGATTATAATTTCAGTGGATGGGAGGAGTTGTCACTGATGAAATCACAGATTTTGGGGAAACTAAAGTGAATGTATTTCACTTCAGAGACCCTTCTATAATCAACTTTATTTATCAGATATATGTAAGGTGGAAGGTACCTTTCATGCCCATTTTATGGAATTTGGGACATAATTACGCTCTTTTCCCAATTAAAAATGCTTAAGTTGGGGATTTTTTAAAAGTTCAACAATATAATATCAGTCAATCAGATTATTTATCAGATGTTGAGTCCTTAGTCAGGAATGAATGATTCAATCATAACAGTGTTACTAAAGAGAAAATATGACCCACTTTATAACTACCTGTTTTATGGTTTACAAACACATAGCAAAAGGGGGAATTACCTGTTTTCTCTCTTCTCCCCTTTTCCTCTCCCTTCCATGCACATACATACTCACACACATATGTATGTATGTATGTATGCATGTATACATGTATGTCTATACACCCACACCCACACATACACATTTATACATAATGAGAAGATCCCAGAATCTCTGGGCTGGAAGGGACCTTCAGGGTCCATCTCATGTAACCTGTACCTGGAAAGAAAATCCCCAATACATTTTCAACATGTGGTTATCTAGTCTTTACTTAGAGACTCTTATTTTCTCCTCCAGTGACAGCCACAGGTGCAAGTAGTTTAGAAAGTATCAACGAACACTTTCCAGGTGACAGATTCAGATCTGATAAATAAATAAAGTTGAAAGAAGCCCAAGTTCAAAGGACCTGCCGCACACAGGCTGGCGTTTTCAAGGCGGTCACTCGGTCACAAGCCGGCCGTCTGCAGGCACCCCGACAACTTACTTGTATTTCTCATTGATGTTGGAGATCCTCCAGGCGTTGTTCATATCAAAACCCATCCGTTCGACTTCATTTTTAAATCTCGCTGTGACGTGCTCCCCTGGGGACCAAGAGCAGAGGAGAAAGCAGTGAGGCCAGGCTCCCCAAAGAACAAGAGCAACAAAAATGTGGCTTCCTACTTTTCAGAGAAAATTAATGGCTAACAGGCAACACTGTGGCGAGATATCTGAGCAGAACGGCGGCATGTCCCAAAATATCACCACAATTAGACCTCTGAAGAGCATCAGTGACTAGGCTCAGGGGAAGCTGGGTAAAGGCTTACACCAAAAGGCTGGGTAAAGAGCTGCCCGTAGGTAAGCACATTAACGAAACAGGACAACTGGGCTGCATTAGCATTAATGTGGTGGGGTTTGTTTCAAGAGAGAAATAATGAGGCAGCAATGGAGACCAACATTTCCCACTCCTCTAAATGCCAGTAAAACACTCCCATGCTCAGTCTGTTTACATTATAATGACAATCATTAGGCAGTATTCTAAATATCCAAGAGCGCAGGATATAAAATAAACAAACACCAAACAAAATGAGCTGCAGGAGGAATTATCACAGCATAAGCAGGTCTCCCAAATCTAGGGAAAAACAACGTGGTTTATACCAGAGAACCTTCGACTTTAGGAAAGGAAATAGGGTGATTTCTCTCTTGAATGCCAGACACAATTTCCTTATTTAAATTGCTTCTTTATAGTCCAAGCTAAGTTGCTAAAAGAGAAAAGTAAACTACCCAAAAAATAAAAGGCTCCAGGGATGCAGGAAGGCCATAATGTGCTAAATCCAACCCATTTTTAGAAAGGCTTTAGCAGCAAAGTAGATGGCTTCAAGATAGGAAAAAAAAGTACCTGAACAAGACGACCATGCACAATTTGGTCTGCTGTCCCATAAACCAAGGACTACAAGCCTTCTTGCGTCAGAAGACTTCGTTCATCCCGTCTAATCACTCAGAGTCTCGAGAAGCTACCTCAATTCCCGGGTTTGTTCAAACATGAACAAAAATGTCTAAACTTGAGGAGAGTGGAAACTATGAGCACCGTTGGTGTATTATGTTTAAAAAAAAAAAAAAAAAAAGGACAAAACCAGGTTAAATCCAAGGAGCCTCTGGTTTCAAAGTAGCCAGCAGAGACCTTACAGCATGGAGTATGTGACAGGAGAAGCAAGTTTCCACCTAGGATGGGAGTATGGGGCTGTGGCGGAGGTGGTATCCTGAGTAATGACTTAAAGTTGTTGCCAGTTTGAACTATTCACTTTACTATAACTCACCCAAAACATCTAGCTAAAACCATGAATACTAAGGATGAGGGGAAGAAAAACAATTGACAACTAGGCTCCCTCTTGGCTTCTACATCTGACACAAAATAGCCACCCAGCCCCCAATCTGGTCATGCTGGTCAAGATTCCCACTGATCTTCGGTGATGACTACAGTTGTAGAGCAGTAAGAGTCTGAAGGTCCCTTGAAGGTCAACTGGCCCTACCCCAGCCCAAGCTGGCTCCACATGTCCCCAGCGACTCCAGTCTTTGTTTACCTTGCCCTCACCCAAGGCAATATGTTCCACTGCTGGTCATCAAGTCATGGCATTCCACAGATGGAAAAAAGTGGTTCTGGAGACTTCTGGAGGTGGAGCCAAGATGGCAGAGTAGAAAAGGCTGAGCTCTCCCAACATTCCCCCCCAAACAACTTTAAAATAACTTCAAATTGAATTCTGGAGAGGCAGAGCCAACAAAAGGTCAGAGTGAGACATTCTTCTGGCCCAAGACAACACAGAAGGTTGAAAGGGCAATCTGTGACATAGGGGGAGGAGGCTGGCCCAGAGACCACATGGATGGAACTGTGGGAGGACTGGAAGGCAGTGATAGAAGCAGCAGCAGCAGCAGCTTTGGAAGCTCTTGAGGAAGAGATGGTAAGGGGACCTGGGCAACTGGTCAGAAAGCGATTACAGGGTACCTCTATGCTAGCACTAGACACAGGACCAGACACTATTTAGTAACTCCACTGCCTATACTAACTTCTAGGTCATAGTTCAAAGGCAGAGGGGAACACTTTTGTTCAAGGGAGAGTGAGAGCCCTGAAGGACAGTATCATTTCCAGAATCAAGGACCTTAAGAAACAGTATTGTTTCTGGTCCCAAGGAAGGAGGAGCCCTGAGAAGTATCAATTGCAATTCCAAAGGATCAGGGGTCCTTTCTGGGTAAGGACCAGACTGCAGGCCAAAAGAACACTGATTACAACTCTCCCCAGATCACACCAACTTCAAAGCACTGAAAACTTCCAAACTCCCAGAACTAGCTCTGAAAACAGCAACGCAAAAAAGGCTGAAGCTTGAGACAGTTGGTGCCCTTTGACCCCTAACCATGCCAGGAGAAGATCCTCCCAACATTAACAAAAAGTTCCACATCAAGAATCAGGGTGGAAAAATGAGCAAACAACAAAAAACAACCTGCCAACAAAAAGCTACTATGGTAACAGGGAAGATCAAGAAATAAACTCAGAAAAAGATAATGAAGTCAACAACAGCTACAAGCAAAGCCTCAAAGAAAAATTGGACACAAGCCACAGAATTCCCGGAAGCACTAAAACTTTATTTTCAAACTCAAATATGAACTGTCAAAAAAAAATTAGGTAAAGAAATGAAAGCAAAGGAATAAATTTATGAAAAGACAATGAATACTTTGGGGGAAAAATGGGTTCAAAAATTCACTGATGAAAAAAGAAGTACAAAAGCTCACTGAAGAAAATAATTCCTTAAAAATTAGAATTCAGCAAGTAGAAGCGAATGACTCTATGAGACATCAATAAACAATAAAACAAAGTGATAAGATTGAAAAAAAAAATAGACGAAAACGTGAAATATCTCAATGGAAAAACAACTGACCTGGAAAACAGAACAAGTAGAGATAATTTAAGAATTACTGGATTACCTGAAAGCCATGATCAAAGAAATAATCTACCAGGGATAGAGCATCTGTGGCCTGGAGGCCACATAAGACCCTTTAGATCTTCAAGTTCGGCCCTCTGACTGAATCCAAACTTCTCAAAACAAATCCCATTAATAAAAGGATTTGTTCTATAAAACTTGGACTCAGACAGAAGGCCACACCCAAGACCTAAAAGGCCACATGTGGCCTCAAGGCAGCAGGTTCCCCCGCCCTGGTCTAGACACAGTATTTCAAGAATCTAACAAGGAAAACTGCCCATATGTCATAGAACCAGAGGGTAAAACAACAACTGAAAGAATTCACCAATCACCACCTGAAAGAGATTCCCAAATGAAAACTCCCAAGAATATTACAGGCAAATTCCAGAGCTCCCAGGACAAAGAGAAAATACTTCCAAATAGTCAGAAAGCAACTATTCAAATACCATGGAGCCAGTCAGGATCACATAAAATCTAGCAGCTATCAAATTAAAGAAGGAAAAGGCTTGGAATATGATATTCTGGAAGGCAAAAGAACTCAGATTGCAACCAAGAATAACTTACCCAGCAAAAGTGAAAATGGACATTTAATGAAATAGGGGACTTGTAAGCATTCCTGATGAAACTGAGTTGAACAGAAATTTTAACTTTCAAATACAAGACTCAAGAGAAACATAAAAAGGTAAATATGAAAGAGAAACCATAAAGGACTCAATAAGGTTAAACTGTTAACCTTTCTATATGGAAGATGCTACATGTATCTTCTAAGAACTTTATCATTATTAGGGCATTTAGAAGGACTGTACATAGAAAGAGGGTGTGGGAGTAAGTCAATTATGTTGGGATGCTGTTAAAAAAAAGAATAGGTGAGAAAAAGGGATTGCTGGGAGACTGGAGAGAAGAATGGGGAAAATTATCTTACGAAGAGATAAAAGCAAGGAACAGCTTTTATACTGGAGGGGAAAATGGGGGAGGGCAATGTTTGAACCCCATTCATATCTAAAATGGTTTTAAAAGGGAAAATATATACATATACTCAACTGCTAAGAGAAAGCTATCTTACCCAATAGGAAAGCTGGAGGAAAAGAGGATTGGACAGGGGTGGGGTGGAGGGTAGGGGGTGTGTGGGTGTGGCTTGGTGATAAAAGGGAGGGCAGATAAAAGAATGCAGTAGTTAGAAGCAAAACAGAGGAGGGACAGGATAAAAAGAGAGAGAAGGATAAACAGAAGAAAAGAGAATGAAGGGAAATACACTGTTATTGCCATAACTATGAACGTGAATGGGATGAATTCACCCATAAAACAGAACTGGACAGCAGAAACAGAATCCAACAATATGTTGTTTATAAGAAACTAACTTGAAACAGAGAGATACAGACCCAATTAAAACAAGAGGCTGGAGCAGAATCTATTATGCTTCAGCTAAACTAAAAAAAAGCAGGGGTAGCAATCATGATCAGACAAAGCCAAAGCAAAAATAGACGATAAGCAGGGAAACTACATCTTCCTAAAAGGAACCATAGACAATTAAGTAATATCAATACTAAACCAAATGCACCAAATGGCACTGCATCCACAACCTTAAAGAAAAAGGTAAATGAATTACAGGACGAAATAGACAGTAAAATTACATTAGTGGGAGACTTCATTCCACTATCAGATCTAGATAAATCTAGTCATAAAATAAATAAGAAAGAAATCAAGGAGAAGAATAGACTCTTAGAAAAGTTAGATATGATAACTCTCTGGAGAAAGTGAATGGGAACAGAAAGGAAATGTGCCTTTTTCACAGTTGTACGTGGCACCTTCACAAAAACTGACCATGTATTAGGGCATAAAAACCTCATGACCAAATGCAGAAAAGGGGAAATATTAAATGCACCCTTTTCAGACCATAATGCAATAAAAATTATATTCAATAAGGGGCAATGAAAACATATATTAAAAGCTAATTGGAAACTGAATAATCTAGTTCTAAAGAATGAGTAGGTCAAAGAAAAAAAATCATAGAAACAATTGATAACTTCATTAAAGAGAATGACAACAATGAGACAACATTCCAAAATTTGCGGGATGCAGCCAAAGTAGTACTTAGTGGAATATATATATCTCTAAATGCATATATCAATAGAAGA